TTATCTTCCGCAAGGAGGGATCTTCTGCAACTCGGCCTGGAACTCAGCAGCTGGGACAGGGATGGCCACCTGCTCTTTCTCGCCCACTGGGTCTGAAGCTGCAGCCTCCCTGAGCCGTGTCCCTGGGTGTTCCCTCCCCACCAGGTTAGGGTCCTGCGCCTCAGGCAAGGCACCCCCCCCCAGGCCAGGGCGCAGTGCCCCTCGCCGGCCCTGACTGCGGGTCACAACCAGGGCACCCTGGGGGTTGCTTGGCCAGTTCTCCAGGTCTCCCCCATCAACACCTCAGTGGGCAAATACGGGTGTACCCCCCACATCCTTGGGGCCCTCCTTGGCCCCCCCTTTCAGGTGTACCCTCGCCATGGGCACTTTGACTGGGGTCCCGCCCACCCCCGTCAGGGTCAGGTAGGTGTTGGGCACCACCTGATCTGGGGCCACCACCTCGGGCCGGGCCAGCGTTACCTCTGCACCCGTATCCCAGTATCCATTGACCTCCCTCCCATCCACCTCCAGTATTCATCACCACCTGCTGGGAAATGGGCATGTTTCTGTGAGTGAATACATGAAAAAGCGATCAGCAGGCAAAGGGTGTATACAAAGTACCTAGAGTCTAAAGGTCACAAGGTAGTTTCACTTTTGCATTTTGTCAGTAATTAACTATAAGTGCATAAGGAAATAAAGTGTTTAAATACAAAGCAGCTCTCCGTGTTTTGGAACTAGATCTGCTGCTCCAACACCCCCCAGGACCCTGCAGTCTGTAGGTAAGTCGCTCGTTTCATATTTTGGACCATGGAACAGATGTGGAGATGGAAATTCAAGATGAGTACTGTGACCATGTTTCCCAAATGGAAAACGGGACACTCTCTGGGGCTGGCCCAAACCACTCGCCAAAGCTCCCACCCTGCCTGCGGGGCTGGCCCGAGCCGCTTGCCCAAACCCCCTTCCCTGTGCAGGGCTGGAGTTGCTGCTCGCCCGAGCTCTGCCTGCCTCGCTGAGCCCTGCTTCCCCCCTGTGTGGGGCTGGCATCGCTGCTCATCCCCCTCACGTTCCTCCACCCCGCACCCCACTTTTTTGACAAAAGTTGGCATTTGTCCCGTTTGCTGTTCCCAACTGATCAGATTGGTAAGCGCAAACAGGACAAATGCCCACTTTGGCCAAAAAAGCCAGAACGGCCGGGACAGGGCTTAGAAAAGGGACTGTCCCAGCCAAAGTGGGGTGTATGGTCACCCTTTGAGCTACTTTGCTGGCTCGGTCTCAAAGATGGTTCTGTTGTTTCTATCTGTTCAGTAACTTCCGGTGTTTTATTGACATAAACCCGCTCTCCTCTGTTCCGAAACCCCATGTAGAAGTGGTACGGTTGGTGGTTGCGTATTCAGAGTTCAGAAATGCCAGTGTTAATGTTACCTGCTCTGCCTTACCTCTGTCACCTGGTGTATGTGCATTGCCACAATACAGGGCGTGGGTCCTCTCTCTTGTCCTGGTGTAGCCGTATTTCCTCCCCATTCCTTCCTGCTCCAGGACTGAAAGTGTCTGGACCTGAGAGTTAAGCATGTGACCCTAATGGGGAGCAGGGGGCTCCCCACAGCGAGATACAAGGTCTGTGGAACTGAGCAGGCTGCAATATCCCTCATCAAACAGTATTATGGAAAAGGGGAGCTGAGCCAGTGGTTCTCAGCCAGGGGGATGGTACCCTGGGGGTAGGCAGGGGTCTTCCAGGGGGTACAGCAACTCATCTAGAGATTTACCTAGTTTTACTACAGGCAACATAACAAGCACTAGCGAAGTCAGTACAAACTCAATTTCATACAGACAATGACTTGTTTATGCTGCTCTGTGTACTACACAATATTTCTAGGCCAATGGATTTATTTTAGAATGATATGGTAAAAATGAGAAAGTCAGCAACTGTTCGGTAACAGTGTCTGTGACACTTGTGTATTTTCATGTCCGATTTTGTAAGCAAGTTGTTAAGTGAAGTGAAACTTGGGGAACGTGACCAATCAGCCTCCTGAAAGGGGGACAGTCGTCTGGAAAGGTTGAGAGCCGCTGAGCCGAGCAACCTGAACAGTAAGAGGCGTGGTTACAAATATCAACGGTGAATTGTATTTTAAGGGTTGTTTGTCCCCTTCTTCCAGATCCCGAACGAAGATGTTAACTAAGAAGAGATCCTGAACCCTGCAACTCCTGCTAGACATCCCCCCTCAGTATTTAGTCATTGATCATATCCTGTTTTGAAGGCTGGTGAGTTTTCTAGGCAATATTCGCCACAGCTGCTGACTAGCTGTTCTCCTAAGTAATGACGTCTCCCCTGCACCAGTGGGTGAAAGTACACTGTAACTGCAGGACATAGAAGTTTTATCTAAATCAGGAGAGTAATTATCCTTAGCACTTTGCTCTGGACTTTCCAGATAGCTGCATCTTCATGTTGTTTTAAAATGATTTAATAACAGTAAAATAGAAGTTGGATTGTAATGATATACTGTATCCATTCTCCATAAAAATTAATGTGAATGGGAAGAAAATTTTTTATATTAAAAACTGTGGATGTAGCTTACTGCTGTATGGTGTTGAGACCTCTGGAGACACAGATAATGCAGCCCAAACTAGCAAGTGTAGCCACTCTTTCTCTGATAGGGAGATATTCCCGATCTGCTTTAGACTTTGGCCCTGGCACCTAAAATGGGCTAATTTCCCCATAAATAAAAGAAGAACAAAACGGGTTTCTTTAAGGTCATTGGGCTGCGAGTGTGTGGAAATCAGCGCTGCATCCAGAGACAAGACAGCCCAAGGCGGCCCAGAGGCAGCAGGACAGAAGTGCACCGGCAGGTGGGAATAGTGGAGCTGGGAGATGAGCCGGAGGCTGAAGAGGGGAGGTGGGCGGGAACAGACAATCCAGGAAGTTTTTGGAAAGTGTAGGCAGGGCCGGCTCCAGCATTTCTGCCACCCCAAGCAAAAAAAAAAAAAAA